AAATCCCGGCCAACGGTGGGATTCGAAGCTGGGACCCTTGGATCCACAGGCGGAGACTCGACCACTGAGCCACCCACCCCCCGACATTCAATATAGTGTGAATAAACAGCAAAATTGACGTGACGTTACCTTGTCGTTACGTGACGTTACCTTGCCGTTACGTGACATTGACGTTCCCTATAGTGTGAATTGACCTTAAAAACCCAACCCCAAACGGAAGGCGTGACAACAAATTGTGTATCTACAGTTCATCTAGAAGCTTTAAAAAATAATTTTGGCATTCTTTTCTTTTTTATTGGTCTTACAACGCCCCTCGACAGGAGTCAAAAGAATGCCGTAGTGAATTACTAATATGTTTTAAGTCATAGGTTTCTAAAAATTTGTAAATTCATTTGTTAACTTACAACAATCTATTATAGAAATCGCAGAGGATATTTAACTGCTCAAATTGGTTGTTTTTTTACTTACTGGTCTCAACTTATGTACAATTCTTCATAAAAGATAAACTCACCTTTGTTATTTTCTTTTTGTTTGGCCTCCAGCCATATTTGATCTTATTTGTCAGTTTTACTCAGACATATGTCAACTTGTTATTCTTCTTTATTTGGCCTTCAGTCTTTTACTAAGTTATACACCCGTTTTTTAAATGCAATACGTATTTTCATAAAATCAAAATGAAATATATTACAATAATTTTTTCAATTTTTTTCTCACCTTTATCCAGTTTTTTGATCTTGGTCATTTAATTATTATTTGTTTTAAAATTAAAAACAAACATTTATTGTTTTTACATTGTTTAGTGGAAACCGTCATTGTGCAGACTTGTCAGACACCACTTGTATATCGCATCAAAGCCTTATATGGTGTCTTAATTGTCATTTTAGTTCTGCTAGGTATTTCATAGTTTATTAATTTTCTCAACGTTTATCTCCGCTCACTTATTTCAAACCATTATGAATTTTAGTGCCTACTAGGTGGCGTTTATGTATCTCGCGTTATTTGATTATGGCATTTACCATTTGCATAAAATAGATCATTTAAAGTTGATGTAGATTTACAATCTCAGATTGCACACAGAATCTTTCCAACTTGGGAAACTCCATTCATTTGCTCCCTTCCCTTTGGGAGCATTCCAGTTATGATTACTGTTTATTACGAACTTACACTACAGTGTAGCCTTAAATTTAAATATAAAACTGAAGATATCCAAGTTATAATCTCCACTAATGATTAACAATGCTCTGTTCTCTCTAAGTTATTCTTTATTTAAAGTGGGATGTCACTACCTACAACAAGATGCAAAAAAGAAGATATTTCAAAATGGCTTTCTTCTAAAAATATTATTAGTCCTCCTAAATCCTTGAAGACAGAATTATTCGTAATAGCAAGCCAACATAAAAACAAATTCAAAAAATATATTATAGACGAGATGGCCAAAGAAAAAGAAATTGAAATTTTCAGATTGTCTCCTTACCCCGCAGAATTAAATCTCATTGGACTGATCTAGTTGCAATAATTATGGATTATGTTTCTCGAAACAATATAACATTTAAATTACATGATATAAGGTAAGTTAACCAAATATGGGCAGGTCTCTTCATATGGGCCTTTGCCAATTTCAACTACGAAATTTACGTCATGAGAAAAGATAATGTTTAGTGATAACTGTTGCGCCCAAAATAAAAACCATGCCCTCATTCGATTTTTAGCAACTTTATGTTATACAGGTAGATTTGACACAATCGTACATCGTTTTCCCGACCCAGGGTACAGTTCTTTACCCTGTGATAGGTGTTTCGGCATATTATAAAAGAAAAAACGTCGTATCGATCGAATTTTTTTACCGAAAGAGTATATGGAAATTGTCAAGTCATCTTTACGGAAATTTTGTCATTCCTGTTACCCAAGCTATGGTATTTAACTATAATCATTTGAAAAGTTTTTTTATCCGTTCCCAAAATCAGAAACAAAAGAAAAGTTTGCAATTTCTTCCTATCGTGTATTAAAATACACCAAAAATATAGGTGGCGTTGCCTGTAGCGCCTCGGCTAGCCTCGATGCTCTTCTCATAAATTACACAGGCCCGTGAAAATTTTGTGATCTAGCCATTTTTATTTTTTTTTTCACCTATTTACAACTTCTATATAGCTAAAATAACCCCCTTTTTATTCCATCACGTAAACTTTTTTTGTAAAGTAGTATCAAGGGTCTTATCCCTGAATATCACAAACAAATTAATTTGAATTCCTTATTTTTGTTCAAAACGTTGAGACGCGTTAAAACCTCGTTTTAATTTGCGCATTTGTAGGGCGATTTACCCTCGGATTTACCGGTACTTACTAGAATATTGTTGGGGACTCCCCGAGACTCGTTTTATTCAGGAAAGAGGGCGATATATATTCAGTATCCCCGTGGTATTGAGACAGGCGTTGTCTATCGAATTCTATCGGTGTTTCGTTGTGCACTTTCTCTTAAAAAAATGTCTAATAGGTATTGTAAAAATAGGCCTGATGACTTTTGTTATATTTGTGGACACTTTATAGTGAAGAATTTTAAAAGAAACATTACTGATTTCGTAAAAAATGCATATTTTGCATATTTTAAAGTCAGACTTGGAGATCAAGATAAACCTTGAGCGCCACATGTTATCTGCAAGATTTGCGAAGAAGCCTTGAGGCATTGGTTTAAAGAAACAAGAAAAGCCCTACCGTTTGGAATACTAATAGTCTGGAGAGAACCTAAAATTCGCATTGACGACTGCTATTTTTGTCTTTGTGATATTAAAGGTCATAACACAAAATCTCTAAAGTATATTACCTATCCTAATCTTTTGTCTGCAATAAGACCAGTTCCACATGACGCTGATATACCTGTACCTGTTCCACCTAAAGTATTACAATTACAGTCTATCGAATCAGAATCTTCAACAGATTCAGAAATTGACATTTTTGAGCCATCTACCTCAGGAACCCGTGAACCGCAGCTATTTTCTCAAGTAGAACTGAATGACTTAGTTAGGGATTTGGGACTTCCAAAAGTCCTCTATGAGGTGTTAGGATCAAGGCTTAAAGAAAAAAATACTTGCTCCAGGTACTACATTTTATTGGTATAGAAATCGTGAGGCTGAATTTGTCAATTACTTTGCCGCAGCTGGTTCACTTGTATATTGTCAAAATGTATCTGACTTGGTTATTCACCTAGGTGCTCCTGAATACAATTCTACCGAGTGGAGACCTTTTATAGACTCTTCAACGAGAAGTCTTAAAGCTGTTCTACTTCATAATAGCAATTTATATGCATCTGTTCCTGTTGGTCATTCTATTCTGCTAAAAGAAAATTACGAAAATCTTAAGGTACTGCTTCTAAGAATAAACTACAGACAACATAACTGGATTCTATGTGGTGACCTTTAGGGTTGCTTTTAGGTCAACAATCCGGATATACGAAATACCCATGTTTCCTATGTGAGTGGGACAGTAATTCGGGAAAGCCTAGTTGATCCCGAGAAAATTTTATTACCCCCTTTACATATAAAATTGGGGCTGATGAAACAATTTGTCAAAGCTCTAGACAAAAATGGTGGTTGCTTTAAGTACTTGTGTGAAACTAAATTAAAAGAAGGCATCTTTGTTGGGCCACAAATAAGAAGGTTGATGAAAACTAGGAAACTACAAAGACTCTGAAATTGAAAGTATTGTTGAAAACATGTTGGACAAATTTAGAATGCTAGGCTGTAACATGAGCTTAAAAATTCATTTTCTACATGCTCATCTTGACTATTTTCAGGATAATCTTGGCGATGTCAGTGAAGAGCAAGGGGAGCGCTTTCACCAGGACATAAAAGAGATGGAACGGCGATATCAAGGGCGCTGGGATATCAAAATGATGGCCGACTACTGTTGGATGCTTAAAAGGGACCGTCCTACCGCAGAATATGCACGAAAAACAACAAAAAGAAGCTTTTCCGGAAATAGAGAAAGATTTTTCAAGAAAACAAAGGATTAATGTATGTTACCTATTTTTTAACTACTGTGAGTAAAAGTGGCATGCACTTTTACTTGTCTCTTAAATATCAATGTTTGGAGCACCAAGATTCAGAGGTTAGTGACTCCGATAATTCTGATGATTCGTTGTATTTGATTTATCATATTACCATATTTTCAGTTTTTATTTGTTAATAATTTTGCGTATATATAATAATAAGTATGAAGTTTCATATAAAAATAGTGTATTTGTTACTTATCCCTTTCTTGCACCTTCATATATACCAGAAAGTTGAAGCGGGTTAAAATATACCCTTTTTATACCATAAAACTTTTTTCCTAAATTTATAGCTTATTTACGCGGGTACCATTATCTAATATAGACAAAAAACTTAACTTTTCTATTTATACCTTGAATAGCATTAAAACCAACCTAAAAATAAAAAATTTCTCCCCTGTAAAATCTAAGATGTTACTTATCCCTTCTTGTATCAGAGTCTTCAATATTACCATCAACTCCAGATGAATTACTTAATACTATATTCTGTAATTGTAAGAATGGCGGTTTCTTATAAAGATCTTTTTCTACCTCCAAAAACAAAAATCATTAATATATTAATTATTTCATGTTCACTTGGTTGAAACATGATTAATAATAATTTTAAATCATTTATAAAATGAAATTTATTACAAATTATTATTGTTTTTTAACGTAAATGTCGAAATAGATAAATAGTTTTTGGCATACTGCGATAATTATTTAGGATATTAAAATTATGGTTTACTATTAATTTTTCAGAAAAATCATATCTACTCGAAAATAAATATAAATACAGGGTGACGTATTTTCGCACCAGTGTTCTACTTATTTTGCCCAACCCTGTCCTGTCGCTGTGTATTTCACTTTAGAGAAACTTTGTGTTCCAACGTTATCATTTTATCACGTATATAACATATAACAAAATGACAAACAATCTTGCGCTCCCAAGTTAGTGCAGTTGGAATAAATCGACTTACCCTGGCAACGTTCCCATATAAACACATCAAATTGAACAATTTGTCGGCGTTAGTACGCAGGGGGTCGAGACCGTAGACCATGAGAACAGCACCAGGCTGTTGGAATTGTGTATTTCTTTGGTCTGCCGTGACCGCAGCCGGTGTGGTGCCCTTTCTAAATGCATCCGTTGGAAAAGTGTCTCCATACCCCGGGCATATCTCATCGAATGGGCGTGCTTGTTCGCCTGGGAAAGGATCTGAAACAAATAGAAACGATCAATTTTTGAAGTGAAAACTTCTATTGGCGGGCTCTGTATAACTTTTTTCTTGGATTGTGAATGAAACTTAGTCGCCCCGTTCGGCTAAGTAACGCGCATTCGGACAAACTCGAATCGAGTCGATTTCACGATTTCAGCCAAGCCGAAGAGAGAGAAGGACGGTCAGGTTAGCTACCAGAGATAACAGGAGATGTAACTAAAAACAAATATCGTGCTGTCGTGAATAAAACATTGTTGTCATGCCTATTTCATTATTCTCGTTTTGTTTACAAAATTATTTACATATATTAAAAAAGCTAAAATAATTCAACCTATTTTATTGCATTTGAACTCAAAAAATTTTGAACCATAGTTATATCCAATTCTAAATTAGATGTAATTTCACTAAATTAGATGTAATAATTTTCAATAAAATCCAAAACCTAGTTAATGTTAAGAAGTATTAAAAAAATTCCCATAAGGATCCAACTCTATGGGACCCAGTGTATGTATAATTAAATCTATAAAATATTGTACATTACGGTTATAATTGCAAATTACATTATTTGAAAATACATTTAGATATTTATTCAGTATCAATATTTAAATATTTTATTATCCTTATTAAAATATTTTACCATATTCATTGTCGCATTTATTAAAATTTAAATAGAAAACGCGAAATAATAAAACTGGCTCCGACATATTAATTTAATCAAATTTAAAATAGGTTTTGGTGCAACCAAACCTCGTTTACTAATTTATCTGTCGTATTGCAATAAAACCGACTATTTCGCAAAATCCTCTAAAATTACAGTTGGATTTAAATGATCGCAGCGGAAAAGACTAAAGCGAGAGTTAAATAAATGGAAATGCGCTTACTAAACGACATTTTATATAATAGAGATAATATGTAGAATTGAAATGAGCTTGATTAAAGGGACATTAACTACGAATTCAAATATAAAACAATGTATAGTCATAGCGAAAGCTCATGTCTCATACTTTTATAGTGAATATTTAGAGGTTTTCAAATATTTATAATCAATACAATATGATTGGGGATTATAATAGTATGTCTGTACTATAAAGAAAAATAGTTTTAAATCAAAGGACACTAAAGTACGTACAAATCAGGTGAAAGGTTGAAGAGGTTGAGTCAGGTAAATTTTCCTATTGTAGAGGCTTATATCCTTGTTGCATGTTATTTAGAAACTCTACAAAAAAATAGTCATACATCAAGAAATCCTTAAAAGAGAAAGCATTTGCTCTACTGTCTTTGGATACGGCTGAGGCTTTCAACAGCGTATGGCATAAAGGTATGATTCATAAACTGAACATGTTACTATCACGTCAATACTTGGAACTATTGAAATCTTATTCATTAGAAAGGTATTTCGAAATAAAACAGTAAGAAGTATATTGTCAACTAAGACAAATTAGGACAGGAGTACTTTAATGTAGTAAAATAAGCCCAGTACTCGCTGTATGAAGTGGAGGTTTGTTTAGAGATATTAACGATCTAGAAGTACAGGGACAAGCTATTAGAGCACATCGGAAGATGGTTGCGAGGGTAATAAATATACAGTGATTGGCAAATTTGTTCAACCAAGAAAATATCTCTGGAATTGTCAGAGATATCGAAATGAAAATTGGAAGGTAGGTATTACATTAAATTGCTTATTTGATTTTTTTTTTTTTACAATTTTGAACTTCCGGTTTAACCGGAAGTAATATCGATTTTAAATTTTTTAATGAAACACTCTGAATATTATTTTAATTAAGTATTTTATTACGAATTCAAAAATATTGGGTTCGATATTTTTTATAGTGAAATAAAACAAGAATACCATGTAAACCGAAACTAAACTAAACTTAATGTATTAAATGTTCAAACTGAGCACCGTTTACTTCTTGACAATAGGCAAGTCGAGTTGTAAATTCTCTTGTAACATTAGATACTATTTCTGGTGGAATTCTCTGAATCTCTTTTGTTATTCTTTCAGCTAATCCTTGCAAATTATTTGGTCTGTTAATACAAACCTTGGACTTTAAATAACCTCATAGAAAATAGTCCAGTGGATTAAGGTCGGGACTTCGCGCAGGCCATTCATAAGTACCCCTTCTTCCAATCCATCTATGATGAAATGTATTATCTAAACGATCTCGAACAATGCGAGCGTAATGGGGTGGTGCCCCGTCCTGCTGGAACCAAATAGTATTTGGCAGATGTCCATTTACCTTCAGTGCCGGAATCACTTGTCTATCTAAAAGTTCTAAATACCTCTCCCCGTTTAAATTTTCTTGTAAGAAGAAAGGTCCCACGATTCTGTTGTTGTAAATACCGGCCCAAACGTTCAATTTCTGGGGATGTTGTGTATGAGCCTCTTGTACCCAATGAGGATTATTTTGCGACCAGTAGCGGCAATTATGTCGATTAACCGTACCGTTCAAACAAAATGTAGACTCGTCTGAAAACACCACATTTCTTACAAAATCATTATCACGGTTGCAAATATCCACAATCGTTTCACAAAATTCTAAAGGTCTGTCAAAATCGTCGTCTTCAGTGAGCTCTTGAACAAGATGAATTTTGTATGGATGATATTTTTCTCGCCTTAATATCCTTCCTACTGAACGACGGCTAAATACGTACGTATTGGCGAGTTCAGTTGTGGATAAATGAGGATTTTCTTCTAAAGATATAGCAATATTTTGAGCAACATTTTCAGTTGTTGCTCTTTTTAAACGTCCACTTTTTGGTAAATTGCTGACGGTTCCACTTGTGTTGTACCTTTGCACAGTTTTTGTTACTACCGAACGTGATATCTGTCGATTCGAATGAATATTGTTCCAAAGATCACAAACTTCTTGATGCGTCCGTCTCCTGTCCCCATACCCAATCATCATTAATATTTCTATTCTTCTCTTTTACTTAATTCGGCCATTTTAAGTTCAAATTCAAATACTACTTACTTATTTTGACATATATTGACACTTCTACAATTATTTTCATGGACTACTAGATATCATTAGATTTTTCCTTACTTTAGTTATGTTTTGTTAAATCTTGGATGGCATTGAAATAAAAAATGTCGAACTCGATATTTTTGAATTCGTAATAAAATACTTTATTCGAAATTAAAATAATATATGGGGTGTTTCATTAAAAAATTTAAAATCGATATTACTATTAAACCGGAAGTTTAAAATTGTTAAAAAATCAAATAGGCAATTTAATGTAATACCTACCTTCCAATTTTCATTTCGATATCTCTAACAATTCCAGAGATATTTACTTGGTTCCACACATTTGCCCATCACTGAATAACAATATCAAGAGAAGCCACTTATGTGATAACAGAAATAATACCTGATGACCTACTCGCGGAGGAGAGCAAAACAATAGACAGAATTGCAAGAAAGCTGGAATATGATTACCACAAAGTGGTTGTAGACGAAAAGACTGATTCCAAATTTGAAGAAAAGTAATGATAAGTATACAAACTACTACTTGACGCAATTTGAGATCGGGTTAGGATGTTTCGGCGTATACTAATAATATCAAGAAAAAGAAACACAACTTACTGCCGACTTACGAATACAGCGTAACACACCGTCTTCTAATACCAGAGATGGCAAAACGAAAGAACACTTATAGAGATGAAAGCGTGAAAAAGCGGGAAACATAATAATTGTAAATAACGTTATAGTTACATGGTAAATAAAAAAGTAAACTTTGAAATAATAGATAAATATATAACGAAAGTGGTCCAAGAAAAGGAGAGCAATGAAAGAAATTTCCATCAGAAAGAAAGGGAAGGACAGAGTAAGATACCAGGAGCTGTGGGATCAATGTTAGTTGTCAAACTGATCTTGCCATTGACCCCATAGCGACCTACAAAAAGAAGAACGGAAGGGTTTTAATTGAAGTAGAAAGATAACTCCACCTTGTGAATGTTGAGGTTATCCAGCTCCTCAACAATGCCCAAGCTAGTAAGAAGACTCAAAACAACCAAACCTTTCGAGTTGGTCCAGTAGTGATGTTAGCTAAAAGCAGAATATAGTATGGTTTAGAGTTATACGTTAACGGTAGTGTAACTAAAAATAAATAGAGAGTTGAAGTGTTTCCAGTACGTTAACGTAAACGTGAACGTCAACGCACAAAAATAATGTTTACGGTATAGTCCAAAATATGAGTTGAAGTTGTTAAACGCATCGTGACATTTACGTGTCATGACAGATAATGACAATTATTATTAGGATTTCTTCTTTCCCAATTAAAAATAGGTTATTTTGTTTGCGTTACGTACATACGCTATAGCCCGCAAGCTTACGTATATATGTAGAAGTGAACGTGAAGAATATTTGAATGCGCATGGGTAGATGTCAATTTTCACGTATACGTTTACGTTCATATCATTTCTTCAACTCAAGATGTAAGATACACTAGTAAGTAGGACCTAAGTTGTTTTTCAACCTTAGACAAGTTAGGTTATAATAAAATTGTTCATTGTTCTGTTAGTGGTCGGATTGTTTTTTGTTTTTTTTTTGTTAGAATATTATCATTATTGACTACCCTACAATTTAATCTAAAAATCTTTCTTATAAACTAATTACTTATCTAAGAAGTTTCTATGAGACGTGATGATTTATTATACTGTTTTACATCACTAGCACTAACATTAACGTTCACTGCATACTCTCAAATGGCTTATTCCTTTCGAGCCTTCTGTTGAGTGTAGAGTTGTTCAGTAATTGCAGCGCTTCTTCGTTGAAGTGGTAGTGGAGTCGACCCTCATGTTTCGCAGCAAACCTCATTATTTCTTCTTCGATTGTTGGCTCTTCAGGTCTTTATGAAGATAATTGTTTTGATAGAACCAAGGTGCATTAACGATGCATCTTAGGACTTTATTTTGGAAAACTTGTATCATATTGATATTATTCTTGCTGACACATCCCCATAGCTGTATGCCATAAATCCAGATTGGTTTATAAAT